CTAGAAGACGTCGGTTCGAATCCGGCCGGATCGAAGAAATTTTTTCTAAGTAATAATAAAACGAATAACGAACACACTCAACAAAGCCCTACACTAGGGAAACCCTGTGTCGCGGGTGCCATGGACACACGCATAGACAACTGCAAATTACACCCAAACTCACGAGAGAAATAAACGTAGGCCATACAAATATTTCTCCCGGCCGGGGAATCGAACATGAGACCTCTGCGTGACAGATGGTAACCGTTTGGCCACAGAGGCAGTTAAAGTGTTCGATCTTTGTATTAATAATTATAAAAATAAAGTACTTATTATTTTTTGTAAGTAGTTAAAGCTCAACTTAAGGTACTTTGTATTAATATTAGACATAATTAGTTGATGAACTAGTGCCATAGTATAATTAAGTAGCAGAGGACGTTCTTGTGAAGAGTTGTGATTTAAAGCTCTAAGTGGCACTACAACTGTCACTTACCACCAGTCGCACGACTTGTTCGTCCCGTTACTTGTAATTATGAAAAAATAATAATAAAAAAGTAAAATCGATAGACGTATATTAAAGATGTGGATCTCGCATTTCTGGGCAGGAGCTTCAGAATACCAACTTGACCCCCTTGACTCCATCCAACGCAGAGCTGTTCGTATTGTCGATAATCCCAGACTCACAGACTGTATAGATCCCCGTAGCCTACGGAGAGATGTTGGCTCTGTATGTGTGTTCTACCGTCTTTATAATGGCGAGTGCTCGGAGGAACTTTTCGAACTAGTGCCATCGTCTCGTTTCTACCATCGCACCTCCCGCCAAAGACGTAGAGTCCATCCCCATCTTAGATTCCTGTCATTGTAAGACCACGCGGGCATCTCGTTCGTGTCTTCCTCGAACCTGCAAGGTGTGAAATGGTCTTCCTCCTGAAGTATTCCCTTTGCACTTGGGCTTCTTCAAAAAGCGCTCTCAAAGGCTGGCAACGCATAGGCAGCTCGTCTGATGTTGCAAATATCCATGGGTGATGATAACCACCTCCCGTCAAGTGGCTCATCTGTTCGTTTGCCTCCTTCTTTACGTAAAAAAAGACGTCTTGAGTTTCGCTTCGTCTCGGACTACTCGAGATGGGCAGGCAATGAATTCGCTTCCTGAGAATTTCCGCGCCATCGACGGTCGTGCGACAACTGTGGTAAAAAGTGGCTCAAGCCAATTCCGCGTCGTTAAATGTGGCGACTAACCTAAAGAAAAATGTTCCGCCTCCATAATGTAGAGAAATTAATGTGCAATAAGATAAGCAAGCATTGTGTGCTTGAAGTGTATTTTATTTGCACAAAAACTGGATGTGACGCTACATAAATTGCATACGCGTTGTGTGCAAAACAAATACAGTGAGAAATGCGAATGAGGTTAATCCAATTTCTCGTAATGAACTTAAAAGATGTCCTTTTGGTGGTTGATGACGCTTTCCGGCCGTAGTTTTTTTTTACGGGACAAATGGTCACCACCAGGCGTAAGCGACACGCCTAACTGTAATAGCTGAAGTGAAACGCGATGTTTTAAATTACAAAGATCGAGGTGGCATCCTGCGACATTTTTTAAATCGTTATTTATTTCCCTAAATGAACGAATTTTGATCATTATTAAACTTATTAACCCCATTACAAAAAACTATTTAGAGAATTCTTAATGGAATCCAAACAGACAAAGCAAAATACTACACAACCAAACATGTATACAAATTTTTCGCAGTTGAAGAAATAAAGTTGACAATATTGTTCTTGGAGTTTTATCAACACCTTTAACCGTCGAAACAAGAACGAAGCAATATTCACAAGAACAAAGAGCTCTACCTGCTCCTTGAAAAATGAACAAATTGCTTCTATGGAATGACCTGCCGCCTTCTGCAAGAACGAGCATGTTTCTTATAATTAGAACCTTGCTATTCTTTTTATAGTAATTAAAAACTGCATAGCCCCTAAGCGTGTGTTCAGTTATTCTTAACGTACTTTTGATATTTACGGGTAACGTTATCAGTGAGTGCAATGTACTTTATAAGCCTCTGTAGTTAAAGCACACACTCATTTGACATTTTTTGTGTTATGTTTAATTTGTATTTTTATTCATTATGCTGTTGTTTCGCGGCAATGTAAATTCATTTATTAGCCAACTTTAAAAAAGGAGGAAAATATACGTTCATACAGCTGAACGTTTTCAGATTTCTCCGTCAATTGTAGACCGATTTTCAATTTTTTTTTATTTGAAAGGGTGCACTCTCGTGGTGTCCCATTGTCACCAAGTCAGAATCTTTTAGTGATTTTTTGAACTTTCAAATCGTGTTCTATCAATTCCATGATTTTCTAGTTACGACAGTATTTGGTTGGTGGAAATTAATTTAACGATTTGAAGTGTAATTTCTTTACCTATGTCATGAAAATGTGAGTTTGAATTTAAGAATAAATAATTCTAGAATGATTTGAAGTAATGTTAAGAGGTACTGCCATGTTGAAGTATTGTAGCTGTGGATTGTTTACGTAAGGCAAGGAAACGGCGGTCGCCACAGGGGCAAGAAGTGGATCGCGTAGATGCAACTCCGTCAAAGACTAGTTAATTGTAATAGAGATACGTCTCTGCGTGCTCTGACACTAATTCATACCTTTTGGTTTAATAAACCTACACGTGATCACACTTGGAAATTGTTTTTCATATTATTATTAACTGCCTCATTGGCCGAACGGTTACCATTCTGGTCTGCTAGAATAGTAACTGTTCGAGGTTTTTTTTATAATATCTAGTGACTGATGTTAAGCTATACGTCTGTCCATATCAGTGGCAGTGCCATTCAGAGCTTTAAACTACAAAGATTTCAGGGGCACTGCCACTGAGCCCGTCACCCTGAGACATAAGTTGACAAGTCCCATGTCCCATGTGCCCTTCAAAACTGGAACATTACTGCTTGGAATCTGCGGCAGAAATAGGTAAGGTGGCAGTACTTCCTTGGACGAACCCTTTAACAAGCTCTACTGCTTCGCAAGCACTATGCAATAAATATGGCAATATTATTTTTCAAAGTGATATTACTAGCTATCAGTTTGTTATCTTTAATTAAAAATTCGACTACAGTGACGCGCTCAGCGTAGCTAGAAATGTTCTGGGCCGCTATCACATAGAGTACGTCATCGATACGATGGAGAACAGCCATCAGTTACAAGTGCAAATCCAGTAACTATAGATACAAAATAAATATAACATTTTATAAAAAAATATGTAGACTGTGAACTGGCAATTGGTACTATCTCAATTTTGACAAACTTTACGAGATGAAGAAAAAATTTGCTTGCGTCATTTATATAGCATCTGGTTTATTAAAGAAAATACGTAGTTTTTAAATATTTTTATTACACATGTATGTATGGACACTACGCATTTTTATTTAATAAACCAGATGCTTTATAAATGGCTTTTTCTTCTCCTGTAAGTTGCCAAAATTGAGATAGTACCGGTTGCCAGTTCACAGTAGATATGCCAAAAATATATAAAATAAAATAAAATATATGAAATATAATAAACTAGAGGTGGAATATTCTGAAATGGAATCACTACTGAGGTACGACCTTTCCGACAAAAAAGAGAATCATCGAAATCGGTTCATAAACGTCTGACTAATCGTGTAACACATACACGCAAAGGAAACAGTAGATTTGAGAACCTCATTTTTTAAAAGTCGGTTAAGAAACAGAAAAGCATAGAATTGAGTATAACAGTGTATTGCTAATTAGAAGTGACAATAACTTCGTCTTTACCTGAACGGTCTGAGTCCGTATTTATGATATCACATTTTATAATAAAATAATAAATAAAAAAAACTAACCGATAATAAAAAAAAATAATTATAGTTTTTTTTAGTATAATGGCATAGAATGCGCGTCGAGGAAATAAATAATTTTTGTAATTGTAAATGGATATATCTATACCACCATTCGAGCAAAGATGGAGTCTACAATGGAACTTGTTTGCCCAGGACTTGTCTATTCAATCACACCTTAAATACATTAGGATCGAAGTCCATACCAGGCCTATACACGTTATAAAGATTGACGAAAAGCACTAAGCGCGCCCAAAAGGCATGCTAAGCCAGTAAGGATGATGTCTCGCCCAGCACTATAAAATCGATTTTAGAAATTAAAAGAAAAGCACGTTAAAATAACAATTGCTAAATTACTTCATGTAGTGTATCACGAAACAGGTTAAATTAGTTTATCATTTTAAAACGTGTTACACAGGACGTTTAATATTATTATGTAATGATAAATATTTTCTTAAATGGTTATTCTAATTATACATATTTTAATTAACGCGTTTTAAAATACTTGTTATTCTGGAAAACAATATCCTTATTTATTTAATTTTTATTTTACAATTCAACGACGTAGAAATGGCGGATTTAATGCCATAGGGTTCTTTACCAGTCAACCATTGGGCCTAACAGAGAAAAAGAAGATTGGTATGACACAAGAACAAAATAAAAATATACCATAATCCAAAATTGGATGCTTATTTTATACGGCATATAATAAATATAATATAGCACAAACATACTTAATATACTTATATACTATAATAAACAATACGCACATACATCCATAAATAATATAATACGATATTATTGTATTATATAGCCACAGCAACATTATGCAGTCTTGATCTGGAAGATTGTCAAAAAGATAGTTATGACAGATAAAAAACTATCCTCAAGGTTACCAAATTATATATGAAATATCTATAATTAGGAACCTCTCAAATCCCATTAAGTAAAATTGCCCAATTCTCTCATAGGCATAATGTAACGCATGAACCATCCATATCTATAATCTATGGCGAACAGCGAGCTATCGTGTCGCAGTTCCAAACTACCCGTCGAACAGATAACACGTCCGCGTACAGTGAAAATGTTTACGTGAATTTGTGAGCTGTGTAGTGGAAACAGTGCAGTGTAACAATGGCAAATCTTACTTTACGGTACCTTGACGAGTTGTCTTATGTTTTAAATAGTAGGAGGCATCTGTCGACGCAGGCCAAGGCATCGTCAGTGGGTGACCTTCTGAACGCTCAAGAAGAAAGATTCTCACCGGTTAGTTGCACTTAATGTTTAATTTATAAACGCACAATTTTAGGTAACTGAAGATTTTGATTGACGTATATGACAGGTCTGTTGCGATTGTCTTCTTTGACAAAGGTCGGTTGTTAAATTATAATTGACCTTTTTTTGTTAATTTTCTTTAATGAGGTACTGTAGAGTCAGTGCCTGACCGAGATTTCTCTAAAATCCAGGTTTGAAACCCTACATAGATTCTTAGCTCTTACCGATTTTCGGCCTTAAGTTCAATTACATTTGTAAACCTATAATAAAACTCCAAGGAAAGTAGTATGCATAGAGTTCGTAACACCTCCGTTTGAAATACCGGAAATATTATATTGTAATTTGTTTTGATGTTTATTATGTGTAACTGGCAATTATTTTATAGTTAGTATATAAAAGAAACTTTTGTTGTTGCTTGTAGAAATATAATTATTTTATTTTTCATATTTTGCTTTTTAATTTTAATTTTATTTCAAAAACGATAAAGGTATAAATTATTATATAGCTTCTGCGATGACAAAAATCCGAGGTAGAAACCCCTTTACCTCTTGCAGGTTATCTCGATTATATTTGTAATGAATATTGTAAATGACAAATGAACACAAATGTTTATTTACAAAGAGCAACCACTAGAGTTTCTTGCTCATTCTTCTCAGGGGATTCTGTGCATTATGAATGAGTAGTTGAGTCAATACGACGATTACAAGTGTAATTTGCTTATCTATGAAGTAGAGATTGTTTGAGTTTAGTGATTCCGGGATATCATAGGGAGGTATTAACTACTCTGTGTGTATCACTAGAAGTTTAGGTAAATATATTTTGCTTATTTCGATTTCTGTTTATAATAATAACTTAAATAGTATGGATATTTTCGAGAGACTTTAGATACTTTTAAGAGGACAGTAAGAGATTTTTTTTATTATAATTGCGTGTAGCAGCGCCATCGAGTATATAACAGGAAATAGAGATGAAATGTCATTTAATTTGTTTGAAAACTATTCTGCCAAATCATTACTGTGACAACTGCGCTCCGATTGGCCAGCCCGAACGGGTGTCGTCGTTTGTTTCACTTCAAATGGACCAGTTTAACTTGAGCTTGCTATAATGGACGAAAATTGCAAAATTACATATTTAATTACCGATGAAATGTGATTCCGTTTGTTTTGTAATTAGATTTTTGTTGTTTTTCCCTTGCCACCGATTGGAACAGCGCCCATTGTTAGAGATGTCAGTTGTTGGCGATGTACTACTATACATATCAGTTTTTTAATTTGTGATTTCAACGCAAACGAGAGTTGATATTTAAAAATGATGTAAGACCCATCTGCCTGATGAGCCAGGGATGGATGGCCCTTATTTCGTCTCTATTTCTGGTTATATATTCGATGAACAGCGCACTGTAATGTTGGGAATTATACTTTCTGATCTTGTAAATTTTGGATTACTTACACTGCTAACACTGGCTTGTTAAATGTTTGTGGAATTTCAGATCTTCTAATTGACGTTTTGTATCTGCCTCATTGACTTACAAATAAATAGACGACGGGTCTAATACAAAAACTACGAAAAAAATCAACCTATTTAAACGTAGTGACATGTAAAGGAATATGAAAAAGCTAAAACGTTGAGTTTAAATTGTAATGTCATCGCAGTACTGTCTAATTTTGCTTGCTTCGCTGTCAGTCGAACAAACGAAGACTAGAGCGTGAATGACGCTCTGTATACGATTTTAACGTTCGGACACTTTTTAGCGCGGACCCGATTTGCATATAATTGTAAGTCAATGATCTGCCTTTAAAATATTATTATAAAATAATTCTAATTGGGCACTTTTTAGGAAATTAAAATAGGTTATTCACTAAATGATTATCACTTTTTAACCGACTTTCAAAAAAGGAGGTTCTCAATTCGATTGTACTTTTTTGTATGTATATTACGCGATAACTCTGGTATTTGTGAAACAATTTTGATGATTATTATTCTTATTTAAATTTGAATAAAATATTCCACCTCTAAGGGTGGCAAACTAGGGGTTGAATCTGGTTTCACGCACTTTCGTTAACCGAGGATACAAAGTGACAGGACGAAGGAGTCGTGCGCCTGGTGGCAATCGACACGACTATCTGTAACAGTTGCAGTGCCACTTAGAGCTTTAAGTCGTAAAGATCTTAGCGGTACTGCCACTGCGCCCGTCACCCTGATATATAAAGTTAACAAGTTCCCTACAAAAATAGAACGCAGTAATTTTCACTTTATCGCTTGGCGGCATAAATAAATAAATAAATAACGCACACACTCAACATAGCCCCGCACTAGGGAAACCCTGTGTCGCGGGTGCCATGGACACACACATAGACAACCACAAATTACACCCGCCCGGGAATCGAACCTGGGACCTCTGCGTGGCAGTCCGGCATGGTAACCGTTCGGCCACGGAGGCAGTTATGGTGGCAGCACTTTCCTGGACTATACTGCTATAGGAGCTATAACTGCTGCTAATTACAGGTTTCTTACTACATGGTTTCTTTTAATTTTCGCAATATTTCTCAACGGTTTTAATTAATTTGGTTGCATTCTGAACTACTTAGGTGTGCATGTTCCATTGTTGACTTTATCGTCGTTACTTACGACTTAGGCTTGTCAGATGGCCGGGAAATCCGGGATTGTCTCGGAGTTTTTCGTTTTGTCCCGTGTCCAACAATAAGACTTTACTGTCCCGGATTCCAAACACTAAAACGTTGTTCTTACAAATTTACTAGAGTGCCTTTCATATAAGAAGACCCCCAGATGCAGTGCTGTGGTCGTGCGAAGGAATGTCGAAATATTGATTGCGAGTGACGTCGTTTTTTTTGTGGGTATTCAATGGGTATTAAAAACTCTCCCTTACCTATAGTCTGTCTTTAATAAAACGAAAATTAAAATGTTTACTTAATATATCGTCAATTCGAAACTGATTTGTTTTGCATTCAGCTTTGACGCGAGTTTGCCGGAGGTAGAAGTTGTGCTGGTCAGCGATCCTATAAGTGACAATCGTATGAGATTTCATTTTTTTAAATTTCGAGTTTCGAAAAGCAAATGCCGAGTTGTGTCGTAAAATTACATATTCCATAAATTGTACTGCACGCCACTATTGACAATAATGTACAGCAATTAGCTCCTTCAACGTAGTTATGAATTCATACGAACCATTAGAACCTCGTACCATGGAAAATTCAGTAATTTTTAGCAAATTTTTATCTTCTTTCACAATCTATCGATAAAACTATCGACAACAACTACGTGACTATTTAAAATTTTATGAAAACTGGCGACCCTTCAAATGTCATTTTACTCAGTCTTCAAAAAAGACAGCCTATTGTAAAATTGCCCCGGAAATCATAAGTCAGTATCTGGCAACTCTAGGTGAGATGGAGGTCAAACACGCACTTATATTTTATAAAAAAAAAAGAAGAAAAGCAATACACGCGTTTCCTTAATATCGTAATATTTTATAGGAGTTGGTAACCACTATGTTTCCTATGTAGCAATATTGTAATAACTATAAGTATGTGTACGTAAATATATGCAATCTAATGTCAGGTTTCCGTCCACTGTCTACGTAAACTCCGTATTCATCCGGCGGAAAATCATCTAAAAACAATTTACACCATAATAAATTTACATTAATTTTGCACGTACATGTATAAGTAAGCGATTATTGAAATGACTTGAATATAGAATAAGAATGAATTATGCCAAAAAAGTATTGACGCTGGCTCCGCCCAAATGTGTGAAACAAATATATGCCTGAAGTTCGCGTGACATGCGACAGGAGATGTTGAATTTTGCGCATTAAAAGTACCAAATTCGTTTTAGCGGAATAACTCTAAAACTAAAGGGATTAAAAAAAATCCGTAGTGACAGTTCTAGATCATGCATAAATATAATTAATTATCTAATTTTTGTCCTAATAACCTGTAGCATTTCGAGGATGAATCGAAAAAAATGTGAAAATTAGAGGTCATTTCGTGATTTTTATCTATCGAGGAAGCTTTATTGTTTTATGTTTCTGATTAATGTCTATGCTTGAATATATCGTGTAGTTACTCTACAATATTTTATTTTTAACTTTAAAGTGGATATACCCCTCTAAAATCAAATCGAAGATTAGGAATTTTTCCTCTGCTCCCGTTTAAGATAAAATTCAACCTTGATGTTATTAGGTCACATCTGCAAAATGACAACTTTTTAGGACTGAGCAGGGAATGAAAATAGGAAAATTATAAAATTTGTCATAAAACACATTTTGTTTTTAATCATCATTATAGCGGCAGTTTTGTTATCCAATCTTGGATGTAGGCCTCTCCCCTCTTCTACCACTCTTGGCGATCTTGTGCCCGACTCGTCCAGTCCCGACTTCCGTGTCGTCGGATGTAGTCCAAGATGCGGTGGTCTGGCGCGCCCTCTGATGTCTGCTCTGGGTCCCCACTTAAGTACTTTTTTTTATAATATCAAGTGACGGGACGAATATCACTTTTAAATATGAACTCTCGTTTGCGCTGAAGTCACAAATTAGAAAGCTGAAATAGTACAGCGCTAACAACTGACCTGTATGTACGTCTGCGTATATTCCAAAAATGTTCTGTATTTATTGTAATAAAGGTGATAACTCTAACAATGGGAGTTGTTCCATTCGGTGGTGTGAGACCAAACGGAATCACATTTTATCGGTAATTAAATATTAAATATGTAATTTTCGTCCATTATAGCAATAAGCTCAAGTTAAGCTAGTCGATTTGAACTGAAACAATTGACGACAACCCTCAATTGTTTCGAATTCGCGTTGGCCAATCGGAGCGCAGTTGTCACGGTAAGGAACACAGAATAGTTTTCAAACAAATTAAATGACATTTCGTCTCTATTTCTGGTTATATTATATCCTCGATGTCATTTTATTCAGCCTCTGTTATG